CCATAGAAATCCTTCCTAAATGAGAATCGAAGGAGGGTTTTCTGCGATCACTACACCACATAAGTCAGTTTATTACATGTATACTATATACCACCATTTTAAAATCCTGAGGTTGGGTTTATTACAAGTTTTTAAAAAGGTTTTTCTCAAAGTCTATTAGTTACATCAATATTTCTATAGCCGACGAGAATAATGATACTTGTACTGTCTTGTGCACTATATTTTTCTTTTACTCTTTGCTTTTTATTGTCTTGTTCCAATCATCTCTAGTATGATATATTGGGGGACCCAGTGGCTAATTGAGTAGTGAGTGTAGACTCAAGTAATGTCAAGCAAGTGTCGGTGACACGTGGATCAGATGAGTGGTCACTGGAGTGTGTCCTTGAGCAAGACACGAAAACCCAAGCTCAAAATACAGGGCGCTGCACAGTGGCGACCGACAGTGGCATTGCAGTAAACTGTTCTGTATTTGTGTAATATTTTGTATTTATGTATGTATTTATCCATGTATTTATGTATGTACGTTTTAATAATTTTGCAATATTATTATATAGTATTATATTTGTAGTGTCTATTTTTTTCGTTTGTGTATATTAAAGGAAATCGAAACCTCACCTTCTGCCTCAAACGGCAAAGAGCCTAATTACTACTATACCATCACAACCACACGCACCAATATCGTAACTGTTGGAGTGCAACGGGGCGAAAAGAACACGTTGATTGCTTCAAAGATACAGGTGTCATCAAGGGACATTTTGATTAGTTGTCACTCTGCCACGCCCCCCACCCCCACCCACACACAACCTCCCGTGGAGATGTATTTAGTATGTTCAATTATCCAGGTTGGTTTCATAGCGGGTGGCTCGCGGGTGCTCTGGAGTGGTTTGCTCCTTCTTTCTTATCAAATATCTATCGTCCCTGTCTCTCCTTCTTACTTTTAGGGGTCTTTTTCACTCTCTTGTATCACTTCTTTAGTTCGGTAAAAAAAATTCGCTGCTCAACTTATCCTCAAATATCTCTTAAACGGGTGTGTCACCGTTACGCATACTTTGCTAAATAGTTTGTATAAATTTGTCTTAACTTAAAACATATTTTCCACAATAATTGAGGCTAGATTAAAAAACAGTTTTTCGTAAATTTATATGAAATACCATAAATCTCCGTCACGCGGAAAATAGGATTGTTCACAGCATTTCCCGCTTCTTGCACACATTTTGTTTACGCATATTATGGCCTACGTCACAGCTCACCAATGGCACTTTATAGAGGCAAAACCTGTTACAAGAAATTAGATTTATAGTGAATACATTTTTTACCCTGAATGTTCTCAAAATATGCGTTCAATAAGCATGAAGTCGCGATTAGAAAAAACTGAGAGGCTTGCTTTTAAAAGCGATATTGCCAGAGGTGGAAACTTTTTAAAAGCTGTAAAAACCATCGACTTGGATTTTTTTATTAGTATTTTCATGTATTCAGGAATTTTCTAGAAAACAGTGTACAGGTGTTTGAAAAAAAAATCACCAGTTAAGACAAACTGATATAAGTAATTCTGCCAAACTTTGGAGAATCTATGCTCAAAAGTTTAGGAGATATTTGACATAAAGTTACGCCACGAAATTTTGACTACACTATAATAATCTTCGACACTTACATTACCTTATTGTGTTGCAGGTGCTGTAAAAGCTCTTACTAAAACTAAACATGGAGAGTGTGAACAGTTTACTCTTTGTGAATGACTGCTTTTTAACAATAATGACTCGTGTCAACTTTTCCCATTAGGCACTACTGTTTTCATTTCGATTTGTACTTAAGATATGTCATTAAGATAAGACACATCACATTCACACATGTCATTTGTTAGCGTCATTTTCAGCACGAGCATTGGTGTCACATTAGATACCTGGAGATATATAAATGCTACATGTCTTCTATTTGCAAATCATTCCAGCGTCAGAAAAGAGGATTCTAAAGTAGACGACGAACAGTACGTTAGTAAGTATTGACCTTTGCGTCTCGACAAACGATCTTAAAACAGAAAGCATGATAAGGCTTTGCCTTGGGTTATAGATATAGAGAAAGTCGACTGCAAAAGTAATAACTCTCTACTTCAGATCTATACTTCCTTAATAATCTGTCTAGATCTATATATATTATATTTGTGAAAGTTTGTCTGTTTGGTCGTCTAATATTTCCGAACCCCTCAACTTTCGAATTTAAAAAAAACAAACAGTGGTACAGAATCAATCAAAGGGTGCATAGTTTTCTTAAGGAGTCTGAATACACTGTGGTTTAATTTTCAGTTTTTCATTAGTTTCCTTTAGATCTAATCTTGGGAAAGTCCGTCTTCTAAGACGACTTTGTAAACACGTGAAGCTTCCTTTCACAAACAGCGCGCACTGTTTCCCACAATGAC